CCTTTATGTCCGAGTGTCTACAATGACGTATAGGTCATTGTAGGTATGTAATATAGATATATAAAGGTTATAATGAATCAATGTGAAAATAGTATTTATAAATACGAGGTACATACGCAAAATTTCACACCTCGTATTATATACACGAGGTACGAACTCGGAGCCTTGTATCTCTAAAGAAAAAATATCGCGAATTCAGATGCAGTACCTCCAGATGCAGAAGCAGCAGAAAAGCAGTACCTCCAATTGTATCGCCAAATTTATTATTACCTTGTATATTCTATACCTCGTGCTAATGTACCGCGAAAAATACCATCTTTTAGTGTGTAACTCGAAATGTCATTTCCATATTCAAAAAAATACCTCGAAGTTGGAGGCACTAAGCGATTAAGGGTGTACTGAGTTCTCATTGGCTGAGAGTAAAAAGTAAAGACCGTACACGGAAAGCACGATTTTATTGAAAGATATAAACATTTTGCTAAATACAGATCTGAAAATAATTTTTTATTGAATCATCAAAATAATTTGTTGGAATATTAAAACTAATAAGCATTGCTATAAAACGTTTTGATATTCTAGCAATCATTTTGACTTTCGCACAAAATTATTTTGATTGTTGAACAAAAATTATTTTCAGATCTGGATTCAGCAAACTTGTTCTTTTCGTGTAAGAAATGGATTTCAACTATTTCGCTTACGGACTTACTTAGGTCCATCTACAATGAGAGTAAAAGTAGGTCGTAAGCCGTAAGAAATTGACCAATCACAATCGAATGTGAGAAAAATAATCGACTGTGATTGGTCAATTTCTTATATGGCTTACGACTTACTACTCTCATTGTATAGATGGGCCTTTATTCTACGCTCTATTAGGGGCTTTCTACAATAAGCCGTTAGTCACTACTCATGTCATACTAACTAAGAATTGATCAATCGTAGGCGAATATTTTTCTTACATTTAACTGTGATTGGTCAATTCTTATGATTTACGGCTTAAGATCTGACATACGACGTATTGTAGACAGCCCCTTACACTGAAAAATCAGCTTACTCTGACGTGTTATTCGATCCTAAATTTATTACTGCTACATTGCAGACGCCACTTAATTCTGTTGTGTGTTTTAAGCAAACGATTATGAGATTGTTCTCGATTAATTTCTCTCAACATGGTATACCAGTAGAATAAAAAATATTACTAAAAATATCTAGATCAAACTGGAAAATCGCTTAATTATCGCTTAACCGCGACGAGACCCTAGTAAACACTTGTAAATGTCATCTTAATGCAGCTCCGAGGCCATCCGGCTATTCCCGTCGAACGTTTTTTCAAGTCCCCCCATTGCTCCCGTGCACAATTGCATAGGTATATGCCGTCGCTCGCGATTGTACCATTCACGCAAATCAACGGCCGTTACATCGGGCTTGTAATCCATCCGCACCAATCTGTCCGCGTGGAACTTTACGACTGGCAATAACGATTTTACAACACGTGCGGGATCGTCCCGTCGCGTGTATGTACGCGAAAGCGCAGAGGTACGTGCATACGTATGCACGTGACTAACCCCATTCGTTCGATATCCTCCTCGTAGTACAACTCGCAGCGGTGCGCGAGAGGGATATCGCGTGACGCGCTCTTCCGATTTTGCGACGGATTCTAATGTGAGCGGGTTCGAGTTCGAAACTAGAAACGAGACACTCTTTTGAGTGTCCTTTGCCTTTGTAGTGTAGGCTTCGATTCCATGCCCGCCGGGCGTGCGTCGCGTCGATACCCATTTAAAATATATAGCGTTCCGCGCAACATTTTCAAAGTGTGTCGAAAAAAATCGCGAGGCAGGGTAGTTTTGATATCTCCCAGAATTTTCTCAATAGAATGCTTACGATAAATGTAAAAATGTAAAATTCGCTCGAAGCTTTAGTAGCGAAATCATGATGTACGTTTGAAATTCAAGATTATGCAAAAATAGAATATTCTCGAAAAGTGAATATTTAACGCCGAGTTTCCGGTTTTCAATTTATTTGCACGTTTATTATAAATTTACATTTATAAATTTATTTTGTAAAAACGGTCACGAAAACTCATTAAAAATATCGATACCTCAGAGGATATCTTAAATGCACTAGAACTAAAAATACCAAAATGGACATTATTAAGAATTGTTGAACCTATTAAAAATGGGGGACAATGTGATTCTTTCAAAGGTCGATAAAATATAAAACCGTCTGACCAAAAAGCAAGAGAGGAAAAAAAACCTCGACAAGTGTTGAGTGTAAATTCTCGCAATTTATTAACGTTCATTTAGGTTGGACGAACTAGAGCAAGTGTGAATGTACTAAACGTTTTTAACGAAGGATCAAGGAACGAATCGTGTCAGATGGTCTTTTATATCGCCATGCACAATGAACAAAATAAATTTATTATATGAGAGTCTTGGTCATTCACATCTTGGGATTTTAGACTTTAACACATAATTACTAAATTTAAATAAGTTCTAAATCATCCAATCACCAGCATTCTTTTCATTTAGCGTAAAAAATTAAAGGTATATTACAGTAATATTTCATACTGTTGCAAATACAGTCGAACCTTGATAACTCGAATCTCAAGGGACTAAAAAAATTGTTCGAGTTGTATAGAGTTTTTGACTTATTCGAGTAAAAAAGGATTAACATATGAAAATTCAACTTGCGGAGGCTTTGTAAGAGAGTTTATAATTTTTCAATTATAATGGCTTTTAAAGGAAGAAAATCAATATTTAAGAGTAATTATTTATTGCGTACATATGATAAATGTAACCATAAAACAAAATATCAGGCTATTACTCATGGTTACACATAGCTACAACTTCGAATTATAGAGGAGAATTTTGACTTGTAGAGGTCTGGTTATTTTAAGTTCGAGTTACAGAGGTAAAATCTATATCTAAATGCCTGACAAATAATTCGAGTTAAGATAGGTTTTATTTCGATTTATACAGTTTTTCCGCAGCGGAGCGGAAGGGGATGAACAAAATTTTCGTCTTATAGAGGTTTTCGAATTGTAGAGGTTCGAGTTATCGAGATTCGACTGTATAATGCGAAATGGTATAGCAATATTCCTGTAAAATTGCAGCATATTGAAATGTTCGGCCTCAAAAAGATTGCAATAAAAATTTATAACACTGAAATATAATGTATTTAGAATGACGTAATATTGCTATAAATTTTCCAAATATTATGGACGTAATAAATATAAACGCGTTTTCTATCTTAAACTTATTGTTAGTTTAATCTGTTTATTAGAAAAAGAATGCAATAATCTCACTTCAGGAAGAACGCAATAGAGGAGGCGATAGGAATGATGATTTAATCTTATGTGTCATTATCCTCTCTATTATAGAGAGAAAGAGAGAGAGAGAGAGAGACGCACCAGCCTATTTCTCTCTTTCTAAACCTGATAATGGAAACCTCATTAGAATGCGTAGTTTATATTTAGGTATGCGAGATAAACAACATTCCTGTACTATAGAAAAAACAAGAAAAAGAAGAAACTATAAGGCCCACAGACACGCTCTAAAAATTTCCTTCCTAGGTCTAATTTCCATAGATTTTTTTATGTGACCGATACATTCTTTTGTACGATAGAAAAGACAGTAGAAAATACAATATGAAGCATATGAAAAATATGTGGACAAGGTATTCAGATTTCCATAGTTTCGTTACTTTATCTTAGCAAGGTAAAATCTTTAGAAACACATTTTCAAGATTCTAAATTTTAAGAAAATTCATTGCAATTATACAAAAAATTTTCTGCTTTCTGTTTTTTAGATAAAAATTTCTTAAATTAAATATACGTATATTAAAATTTTCACCAATATTTTATCTTAATATTACAAAATTAATAAAATTCACTTTAAATTGCTATTGGATATTGATATTATAAAGAATAAAATATGTCTATATGATCATTTTCTCGTTTACTTACTGAATGCAATAATACGTTTATTTATCTGTTAATAATGTTGCGTACGCTGCTATAAAACTTTTATGGTAGTATGATATTACATATTATATTTCTCTTAAAAAAAAAAACAAATCTTAATTTTGTCTAAAAGCCAAACCTTTAAAGTTTCAATGTAATTATCAATTTTGCAATTGCTCTATTTCTCTTTTCTTTTATTATTATTATCTTTTCGACCTTGGTCTAATTTCCATAGGTTTTTTTAGGATGTGACTGATACATTCTTTTATACGATAGAAAAGACAGTAAATACAATATGAAGCATATGAAAAATATGCGCACAAGGTGAAGCACATGCCCAGCGTGCAAAATACTTTGTATTTACTTTATATTTTGCTAGCTTCGTTATTTTATCTTATCGCAAAATAATATTTCTGGTCTGGGAATCCATTTCGAAAACTTTTTCAAAACTTTAAGAAAATGTAATAACAATATCTTTTATTTCCTTTTATTTTCTCTTCCCTAGATAGGGCTCTTAAATATAATAAAATTAAAGTAAATTGAATTAAATATCTAGATTTTTATTAACGTTATCTTAATTATTAACTATTAACGTTAGTACATAATACGTATTTTAAATTGTTACTGTGTACCAATTCTGTCTATTACAGTCAGTAAATTAAAAAATAAGAATCAAACTTTTGAAAAAATTATGAGCGACTCATGTTCATTTTATTTTAATAGTGTATGCGATGTATGACAAATCCGCGTCAATTTGCACAAAAATTAAATGTCAGTGTCAATTCGATGCGTATTTAAGTGATTTTACGCTAAAGAAGCACTGCATCACGTACGTGCGATAATCCGATGCAGCGTTATCGCATGTACGTGTATACGTTATTATTTTCTCAATTTTATTTAGATATGTGTCAACAGCCCAAGCGTACTTTAGCCGCTCGGCACGGATCGGTCTGATACACGTGAAAAAAGAAGACAGAACGAGCAGTGAAAAGAAAGTACATTTCAAATGTCAAGATCACGCACGAAAACGTGAGAGATCCTATATAAAGACCTTGTCGTGCGTGGCCGCGTTAAAAAGAAGTTGGCACCCAAAGTAGAAGCAATTCCACGAAGTATTCGAGTCGTATTGAGTATCGAAGTCATGGCATCCAAAGTACTTACGATATTTATAATAGTCAGCATGGTCGGTTTGATCCTGTCGGAAATTTCAGCTGACAATGAGACAAGTGAGTAACTAACCATCTCTTATGCTGACAAATATGTTATTTATCAATCATTTAAACTCAAGCAAAATAGGATAGAGGGGCTTTTTATTCATTTCTCGCAACGTTTATACGCAATTAGAAAATTTTGTGTAAAATTTTGCACATTTCACGCGTCCCAAACGGTCCAACCAAATTTTTATGTTAATTTAACATTCAACACAAAATGAATATGTCATAAGTAATTATATAAACATTAACAAAAATGTAACACCTTGACTCAATTTGAAAACAAATTGTGGAAGCATATTTCTTCGGTAAAATTAACATTTAATTATATGTTAAATTAGTTACATTTATTCATTTTTTAACTCATCTACAAAAATTATATTTTAAAACTACATTAATTTCTATGTTATTTATTCACATATAAATTTACTGATAAATTGTGTTATTCTAACTTTCTATTAAGAAATATCAATTTTAAAAATTCAAATAACATAATCATTATATTAAATTAGCACTCGAATATTAAAAATTCAACAAAACATAAAAATTTAACAAAGATTTGAGTGAATCATTTTTAACACAAGTACAAAATATTCTCTGTGTACAATTGTAATCAAGCTATCGATTAAGATTATTAAGAGCTCGATCGATTGGACTGTTTTTGAAATCCGGTAATCTCAGGTATACCTAACTGGCCGGCTTGCGTAAAGATATACATGGATCAGTCTTGAGCTGCGCGTACACTTGACGCGAGACACTATCGTATCTCTTGATGTTTCTGAACAGTACATATTAAACATTTGAAGGTCATGTACTCTCTCAAGAAGCAGTCATGTTTGTGCAATGTAGTTGCAAGCATGTCACTGCGAGGAGAAATTGCTTGCCATGAAAATTTTCACTGTAAAATGATATAAAACTGATGGAACAGCCCCATCCTATTCTATATAATTACCTGAGAATTAATAGTTTTATTTTCATCATCAATATAGTATCGGAACGAAAATGCGTACCAGGAAAAGAATACCATAACGGCTGCAATGGCTGCTACTGTGGACCCAATGGCAATAACATCATCTGCACAAAGAAGCTGTGCATACTGCATGATCCAAATACGAATCAGGACATACAAGCGCCAGAGATTCCGGCACCTGATGATTTCTGGCAAAAATGAATGTAACTGCACTCGAATTTGCTCGCATTTAATTGTGTGAATTAATATGTAGTTATAAAACGATCCGTTGTAAAATGATCAATTAATATCATAATATTCTTTATGTTACAAAACGAAGTATCAGTGTTTTTAAACCAGTCAGCTTTATATTTAAAATTTGTTTAACATGATCTGAAATACGCATTATAATGTACAATTTAAAGAAATTAAATCATTAAATGATGTTTCGATTAAATAAATAATAAAAACGTTCAACAGATGATGTATTTAAGAACGTAGAAATTATAAATTAACCGAAAATACAAATCTTTAAAATATAAATTTATAAAATAAATTTGACAAAATGTATTTATATTATATATTTGTATTATTTTTAAACACAATATAATTCTTACTGTTTAACTATGAATAAAATGCAATACTTTATAAGTAAAATGTATACTTTATAAGAATGTTAACTTGCTCACAAAATGTAAAAATTTATGTAAACTTTATTGCGATGCCTAAATAAAAATAATGGAAAATCTGATATATTACTAGGTATTGTAAAATGCTCAAATTGAATATAAATCTTGAAATATTTATTATTAATAAATTAGTCGCAAAATATAATATAAATACGTGAGCATAAAATTCAACATAAACTTGTAGCTACAGCAGAATAGATTTTAATGATAGAAAGTAAACAGTATATCGAGCAGTAATGTAAATATCGACAAAAGATCGGAAGAGCA